GCTCGGCAAAATAGTGACTGCCAATCCTACATCTTCTTCTTCTGTCCTTTTGCAGCTTCATGTTGGGCAAGGTTATTTCTTCTCTTCAACTTATAGTGGGTTTTCTCAAGTTCGGCAAAAGAAAATGTAATGCAACTTCTCCTTGGGCCTTTTCTACCTCCAACAGCTCGATTATTATAGGCAAATGCGATTAAAGCTATTCTTTTAAAAATTTGATTTTGAAAGAAACCAACGAATCTTTGAAAACAAGGGATGGGAGTGGCTTGACTGTTTTGAATAAGCTAAGTTCAAAGCTTGCTGATGGTGTTCAATTTCCTCTCYTTTTAAAGATTACTTTGTTACATTATTTATGCTTCATGGGATGCCTTTGTTCCTAAATAGTTTAACTGTTATTTTTTTTTCACTCCCACAGGAGTTTTTATCTTTTGAGCACTTTTGTATTTTTCATTGTGACCAAGACCATGGAAAAAATTCTATGAAAGAAACATAGTCATCTTCAAGTTCATATATATTTTATGAATCATCTTGCATTACCAAAATCAACTATCTAACATTCTCACAATTTTGAATATCAAATTCTAAAAAACATTTAACAAAAATGATGATAAGAGAATTATAAAATCATGTTATACAATGCACATTAAACTTAAACCTCTTAAGTTTCACCTTTTCCCAAATAAAATAGAATCATATGCTTCCGCAGCATCAGACTTTGCCCAATTGCTTTCAACAACATGCAAAAGTTCACTCTTTACATGCATCAATTCTTGAACAGTGTCAAATGATAGCTTTAAATATGCCTTGCAAAGGCCTGACAGATGATTCTTCTGCAGATGAGCAAACAATGATTATTATACATCAGAAGTTGGATATAGATCAGTTGCACTTGAGTAATATAATAATGAAGCCTACGCAGAGTAAGTGAATAGATATAAAATTAATGTGTAGTCTAATACAGAGATACAAGTTACATGGTAACAGAAATACACATTGTTAGAATGCATATAAATGAATTAAATTTACCTAACCCATCAACTTAAGCTTTTGGGTTGAGTGGTGGTTTATTCATTCTTAAGATGGTATCAGAGTGGGAGGTCATGTGTTCGAACCCCTGCGTTGTCGTTTCCTCTCCATTTATTATGATTGCCACTTGTTGGGTCTTGATGTTGTTTTCCAAGCCCACAAGTGAGGGGGAGTGTTAGAATGCATATAGATGAATTAAATTTACCCAATCCATCAGCTAAATCTTTTGGGTTGAGTGGTGGTTTATTCATTCGTAAGACCCATTATATAAAGCAATTTCCAACAAAAAGAAATTTCAAGACAAAACAATCTTCTTTATTTTTCCATTTAAAGGCAGAACAATGCTGAATGGACTCAATAGGTACTTATTTTGTGAAACTGACAACGTTGACCAAACCTTATATAAATAAAGTTTAAAGCTAGAATGCACAGTAGTGGAATGGTTTTTTATGGTGCAACATGCACCAAAGCACAAATGCTCCATGGATTCTAGGAAATTGGCACAAAATGAGCCGTAACCTTCATTGAAGCAAGACAATCAATTAATAAGGTGTAAAGTATTCTTTTATGTGAGTGAATTACAAAATGACACATCTAATTGCACGATTAATCATACAACCAGACACAAGCCTATGGCACTCCCAGGTGCATCAAGAACGCCAGTCTATGGGCAAATAGAAAATTTAAAATTAAACTCAACCAATTGGTCATGAGATCAAACTCTTTACAAGATAATTACTCGAATAATAAATCTCATACAAGTTCTTCAAAATTCACAATTAAATAAAGAAATTTTAAGAAATAACATTTTTTTTAGCAGCCACTCAATAGTGGTGTAAGAAATAAAATAACATATTCTAATACTAGAATTAGACAAACGGCATTTGGTTTAATTTTTTACAAATTTGGCAGTCAATAATTATTAAATACTATTCAATGAAAAAATTGAATCTTAGCAAATAAAATATGAAACCAAATATTTCTTAATGAAGTATTCAAGCTTATTAGTTAAATAAACACTTTTCTCTTCTCATGAGGAAAGGGATATCTCCAACTTTTTCAATATGGTGAATCTTTTCGAAGAGGCATCCGGATTAAACGTCAATAGGCAAAAATCAGAAAATATGGTAATCAATGTTGAAGAGCATTCATAAGGGTAATGCGATCACTGGGTATTGTTGACAATAAACTCAGAAACAAATCTTTCCTAGTAAAATGAATATGGAGGTTCTTTGGAACATCTGACCAAGAGAAACCAAATGACTTCTTAGGAGAAGACTAAATGTGGGATTTTGCCGGATTTCTAACTTCTGAATGGTGTAAGCTTGTAAATTCTTTTTGTACKTATGATGATCTTCACAAGCAACTAAACTCTAGAACACAGCATATAATGTATACTTCCAAAAGTAGCTATCTTGTCCTTGCTTTACATGTAAAGAAAATTTTCGCAAAAAAAAAAAAATACTGGCTTGAAAAGAATTGGAATTTCTAATTTCTTATTAGTTCATAATGATAATTTTCTGCACCTCAAAGCTACAATATAATTAATTCTTTATTACCACTAAATAAGAATGAATACAAAAAGAATAAACAAAGTAGGGGAAAGATGTAGGTAGATCCATGTAAAAACTTACAAGATCAAGGTCTTCTTTTTCTAAAATCTCAATATCAGCTATTTGACCTTCATAACGCCGTCTCAAATAAGCCTCCACATCAGTTTCCATTTTATCCTACAACGTTTACATCATATTTTTCATTTCTAATATATGATGGTATTAACCATGATATAAATGTTTCTCAAGAGAACGAGGAAGCTAAAGAAAACATGGCTTTTACATGTGATCATATACCTTTGTGGCAGCATAGAAATAAGGACGAAACTTATATTTTGATTTGAAGCTGCTGCCATCCTGCACCAAAATCAAAAAAGAAATTACACTTTTGAACTGATTCATTATACACAATCAAATATAGTTATGTTACACCATTTTACCTGTGTCACAAAATAAAGATCAATACAGCTAAAGACCTTTCCGGTATCCTGATCCTCCCAAGATGACTGCGAATTTACAATCAAGAATTAATGATGTTACTCTTTTCGCATATCATAGACTGAACAAGTCTGTGAGTTAACAATCAATTGCAATACAAAGTGTAACTCTTTTAACTTTGGGATTTCATGTCATCCTTTATCTCTTAAACCAGCATAAAAAACCTCCGCAGCTAGTGAAATGAAATCAATCACAATACACTTAATTTTTTTTTTAACACGATACAAACTTTTCATTGATATATTAAAGGAACATAATACACTTATTAAATGGAAAAATACACATACTTTGCTTATGTGAAACATAAAATGTGAATTAAGGATCAAGAACTAAATACATAAGAAAGAAATTAAATATTTTGCAACATTCTCCTGCCCCTATTCTTTTGATAAAACAACATATGTTATTCCCTTGTCAGATTAAAAAGTGAATCTGAATCTGTCTCTTTATAAATAAAATCATCTTATTTTAACGGATGCACCCAAAGAGACAAGTAAAATCATCTCATTGAAACTGTGCTACAAAAAATCATCAGCAACACCTAAAATATACAATAAAACTACAATCTAAGATGCATCCTGGAAATACACTGCGTGAGAGACAGGCTAACAATGTATTGTGGAATCCATAAGAACCAATAGAGTTTAGGCACTGGAAAGCGTAACTATGGCTCCTATCTTGACTGAAAAAAACCAGAGGATGAAAGATAAGTGTCTTATGCCGCTATGCCACGGAGAAAACTCCCCAATCGTCTTGCATCTCCTGTGGCAACCCCATTAATCCAATGTATTGGATTGATCCGAGAAGAAAGATAGGGGTCATCATATTCTAATACCCATAAATGAGTGCTCCATTTCAGACTAATTTTTGGCTGCAATCACTCCAATTCAGTCCAGATAGGATTCCATCTGGATTTTGACGCGCCCGTTAAGCTATTCTTTCCCCCTCTCTTATTTTATCAGAGCTTAAATTGCCTTCTCCTAGACAAACCATGGTTGAAAGGAACATAAAACCAAATTATACTTCAAACTCAACATACAATTTTCACTCCGGAACTAACCCATTCTTCCTCGGAAAGATAGCGACAGCTAAGATTAAACAATCACTGTAAAAACGAGCTATGGAGATTTCATGGTTGAGAGAAACAGAAGAGAGAAAAAAACACTACTACTACTACCACTACAGCAACCAGCTTCTATAGAATTCACTTACAGGAGCGAAAGTGAGCAACCATCCAAGCCTCTTATCGCCTTCAGAGAAGAGATCAAATCCTAGCTTTGATTCGATCTCCTCCTCGGCGGACCGGATTATCCTCTGCTTCTTCAACCTAGTGTTGTCTCCGCGGCCTCGCCTTCGGCTTTCGCCGCTCATTATATTGAAGGTCTTCAACAAACGCCGGAGAATCAGACGACAATCAAAAATGCCTTAGATAAACAGGGACAAAAATGGTGAGAAAGCTTTCCCAAACTGTGCTTCCGAGACAAAATGCCGCGACACTGCCAGTAGAAGATTTTCCCGCGCAATTATATTGTAAGGACGAAAATGCCCTCCTCCTTTGGGCCGGAAACTGACAAAAGGCCCATAATGAGGCCCTTCTTGCTCGGGCCGGAAACTGCTGGACCACGAAAGGCCCATTAACAGTGTTCGGCCCGAAAATAGAACCCTAATAATATAAATACTATCGTCCGCGACATTTGGTTTACAATCTTTGACCGACGGCTCCGATCTCTCTCCCTCTTGGTTGCAACTGCTGTTTCAAGCTTCTCAAGTATTTTTTTCTTCTTCTGGCCATTTATTTTCCGCTGATTTCTCTTCTGTAATTTCTTCTCATTTCTAATTTTTGACGTTTTATGTTGTTGAAGCAGAGATGAAGGTTGTCGCTGCGTATTTGTTGGCCGTACTGGGTGGCAACACCAGCCCCGGAGCTGATGATGTGAAGAACATTCTTAATTCAGGTTTTTATTTCGTACATTATTTCTCTTTTACTTTTAAAATTGAGTCGCCATACAAGTATTGTTACTTTTCAAGACTGTGTTGATGTTTTAGGGTTTGGGAACGATAGGTTTTTGTTCGATCCGGAAATTTAGATTAGATTGGCATTTTTTGTTTCTTTTGGATTTCGTTAGAAATACTGGAAGTGACGTGAAATCTTAAACTATCTGACCCGTAATGAGGGGTGCTCTTTGTAAATTTGTATTAAGATTTCTGGTGGGTTTTATTTTCAGTTGGGGTTGAGGTCGATGAGGACAGGATTGAGTCGCTATTATCCCAAGTGAAAGGAAAGGATATCACGGAGCTGATAGCTTCGGGACGGGAGAAGTTGGCATCAGTGCCATCTGGCGGCGGTGCAGTTGCCGTCGCTGCCCCTGCCGGTGGTGCAGCTGGTGGTGGTGCAGCACCAGCCGCCGCCGAGGAGAAGAAAGAGGAGAAGGTCGAGGAGAAAGAAGATTCCGACGATGTAAGTTTTTAATCTGTCTTTCTTAGTCGTACACATTTTAATTTTCTTTTATATTCCTATTTGTGAGTTACTTGTTTTTCATGAATCATGGGTACTAAATTTTATGTTCAATCTTCTGCAGGATCTGGGTTTCAGCCTCTTCGACTGAGCAACTCATTTAAGTATCGTCATCAGTTAGTTTTTTTAGTTCAATTTCGTTCAAGTTTCCGGCTGTGGTAGCTTGGTAGGTGTTTTTCTTTTTGACTTTCTTGGAACTCAAAATTTTGATAGATGAAATTGCAATTTTCAATTTCAACATTTTCAGTGATTAATTTAAGTCGCCGTGATCTATGATTCCCAATGTTTCTCACGCCATTGTTCTTGATTAATTTTGACCATGCTAATTCCCATCATTGTTTGTTCCCTTGTTTTACTGCAATACCATGGTTTGTGTTGCCTAGGTTCGCCTCGTCTTCATTGCAGCCAACGAAGAAATTAGTTTGAAGTAGATGGATTTGAATTTTTCATTCTCTACCTTTATCATCCTAGGTTCTATGCGTCATACGAGTGTCAATTTTAGGAACTTGATGGATCAGTTATATTTGTTTGACTCTTTATTTTGACCTTTAAAAGTGGATCATATGATTTTGCTACTTGCGTATGCACTTTCAACCTCTGTTTTAGTTGACCAACGAATGGTGTCGTGTGCTAAATAGATCGTTGCTAAATATGGTCTTTTTTTAATTTGTTATGATTTTAGGCTGGTTGAATGAGAAGTTAGTTTGAATTGAGATTTTTTTTTTCTTTTTGGATGTCTTTAAGGGTTTTATTAATTAATTTAGTGGAAATACTTTTACTTTTTCACGATTCTCGACTGTATATAAAAAAAATAAATGTCTCTAAACTGAAAAATATCTTGAAAAGTAGCAATTTTAAGGGAAGTGAAAAAATATTGGTTAAAAACCACATTTGGATGGAGTAATGATCGAGTCTCTAAACGTTATTTGTTTTTGGACTATAAATTGTTTGGATTAATTTCTTAGGACATAGGGATGGTGAAAATTGTTTCTTTTTTTCCAATTTGACGTTTTTGGTAATGAATATAATCATTTGGTCTATAATTATATTTTGAAGAATGAAAGTTGATGATCTAAATCTTTTTAAAGTGATCATATGGTAATTACTTTAGATTTACTTTATGATAAATTTAGCTATTATAGAATTAGTTTTAGATAGTGTAACCAAATTTTTAAGAAAATATAACCAACCACCAAGCACAAATGTTTTAATTTAACATGTTTTATGAAAAAACATTATGTTAAACTTGCCTTATTTGTTAAAAGTCTTAATTTCTTAAGATACTTTGATATATGTTTAGAGACCATTAAAAGGAATTCAAGAACAAACCATAAGCACATGAATATTTAGAGAGAGAACCTTAGCATAAACATAATTAAATAAGCAATAGAGTAACCAACATTTATTCTAGTGGTATGTATCATGGTTTTTGACATTGTTTCTAAAAAAAAAACTCGGTTATGTTAAAAGCCACCATCCTTGAATCAATCAAGATGCAAATATTTTGAAAAGTGGGGGCAATATGCAAATTTTCCTCAACACTAGTACTTCACTATTAAAATTAAAAAATAATAAAAAAGAGAAAAGAGAAAATATTAAAGTGTATTAATTTTTACTCTAAAATTTACATTTCATTAAATTCTACCCTTAATATTAAGTGTCGCAATCTTTAACTTATATAAGTTTGTTTGAAGAGAGTATTCTCATGTACATCGAGAAAATTTATGGAATTTTGACAAAAACAACGCTAGTAAAAGGGTTTTTTTTTTTTTTTTTTTTGAAATTGCTAAGTTTTAGTATACTTGCAAATTTTGATATTTGTTAAATTTGATAGTTTTTGGAGTTTTATATAAGTTTTTGTTAAAATTAGCAAGTGAATTACAGAAATTGAATAGTAGATAACAATTAACACTAATGTAAGTTATGTCGAATCGAATATCCCGTCCATGCCTTCGATTCCCAAAATCCAAAACACATGACGCCAAATACATGTCTAATTTGGATAAATCTCTCAAGTCTCAATTATTGGATTGAAAAATCCTATGCCCTTTCAAACGAGCTCGTCCGTAACCTGATCTTCCCTTTGCCTCTGCAAAACTTGTCCCCATGTCTTCATCTCATCTGCCTGCCTGCAGAACTGTCCAAGCTTCTTGCTTTTTTGCTCTTCATTTCAATATGATTGCTGTTTGTTTAAAGTTGGGTGGAGAAAACTTTTAGCAGAATTGCCAATTCGCTTGCTTTTAGGCCCGAAAGTGAGAGAAGCTGCATCCGGATTGTGCAACAACTGCATGGAAAAGTGAGAGACATTGCAGCCATTTGTGAGCGTGACAAATGGAAAGAACTAAAGCATTAAAAGACTACAGGACTAGGACTGATCAAAACCACTTGTGTGTGTGTGTATTAAAGAAACCCCACATTCTTCCTCGAAACAGAACAAGCCATGTGAGCCTGCGAGCGACCCCTGCATTCAAGCACACAAAAATAAAGAGTACCTATTTGATCCATCAGCCACAGTCATGGCCACCATCGCAAGCCCTCAACAGTAGGTATCAGATGTTGTCTGCCTTCTGTTATATACAATGCCCATGTGACGTTGAGGCCGAGAGCACGGACAACGGGCGGCTTCTGCTGGGCAAAAAGACACCTAAGTGAACCAACATCACATCAAAATGAGAGAAATTCTGACGAATGTTCAAGTATAATACATTAAATATAACAAGGTGTACCTTCAACGTGTTTGAACCTGGAACAACTCTATGTTGATAACAGAAACGACGACCAGTGTTAGTTTGTAAGGACAATTTCAATGAAACCACCGACCTGTGTTAGTATCAAACATGCTTTGTTTGGGCAGATGCATCATGTTCATAGCCAAGCCATACATGAATAAGATGTTATACTGTAAACTAAAGAAGATATTGCGATCCAATACACAATTACTGATGATGACAGTTCTAAAACCTCAACGAGCTAGCTAATGTGGCTGAGGTGGTCTCTCTGAGTCATTGATTAAAACTATATTTCAATTAAGGATGCTTTTTTATTGATATATGCACATTGTAAGATTTACAAAGGCCATGTGCTCGCAGAATAAGCCGTGAAAAATTGTGCGGCTGTGGCTGGCTGATCTGAATATAAACTAATCCCAAAAACCGATCTTGCTCATTTAGCCACTAATAATACTCCACTGGGGCCTCTGGGCGGCAGCTTTCATTTGATGCAACTTCTCTACTAAATGGTGGAGGAATAAATGGTGGCGACGTACATCTCAATAATGCCCAATTCACCCCTTGGAAAAATGAATGGTGCTTGATCGCCGAAGACCCGGTCGTCGACCCAAGCCGCCTCGCCGGATCTTTGACCAGTAACTGGGAGATGAGGTCCTTTGCTGCCGTCGGCACCACCGGTTCTTTGGGGAACTCGAGGGCTCTGGCTACTATATTGGCCAAGGTGAGCTCATTGTCCACGCCTCTAAAGGGTGTCACCCCATAAAACAATTCAAACACAAACACCCCTAGAGTCCACCAGTCCACTGCACTCCCATGGCCCTCGCCGGAGACAATCTCCGGCGCCAAGTATTCGTGGGTGCCGACAAACGACATCGACCGCACATCAACCGGTTCGGCGACAAACTCGGGTCCATTCCGCTGGCTGGACTTCTTCTTGCGCCTGCGTTTTGGGTTGAAACATGACACGGCGGGGACTATGCAATTTGGAAGTATGCAGGAGGAAGATGTGAAAGGAGGGGCGTCGATCTGGTAGTCCTTTTGTGGGGCAGCGCCATTTGTCGGATTTTTAGCAGTGATAACCTGTGGGGTCGCCGTTGAATCCTCACACTTCAAAGAGAGATCAAAATCAGTGAGCATGATATGGCCGTCCGATCGTACCAGCACATTTTCCGGCTTCAGATCACGGTAAACGATCCCCATCATGTGAAGGTACTCGATAGCAACCACTATCTCCGATGCATAGAATCTATAAAAGAAACAACAAACGCCAATCAGAACTGTACGAAACAATAAACTATAGGGTAACGGAGACTTGACACAAAGTCAATAGCTGACAGAGAGAGGAGAGAGAGAAACAAGACATCAAACCCAAGCATGTCCGGGAAAAGGGCTTTTGCTATTGGCAGTATATACAGAACATAAATAGCAAAAAAACAAGAGAGAAATAACGAAGTGTCTGAAGACTTTTAGCCTACGGGCCGACCACATAGCAAAATCAATAGTATTGCGTGGAGGGGCACCAAAAATTTCACCTCTTTTTATTGGTTTGCCTGTATATCGGCCTGGCCACTGGCCAGTTGAAGTTGTCACATATCAAGGATAATTAAAAAAAATCATGTGCTTTCACATTTAAATCCGTCCCGGAGGGAACCTTCCTCCATCACTATGTGGTAACATGGGAGCCTCGGATTCTTGCATATCACATGGTTATTGCAGAACTTTTTGAAGGTTAGACAAAACATGAGATGGATTATGACGGGGGTTGGTCTGAGACTAGAAACTATAGGGTCGTCCATGTCCTGAGTTACTTGCCTGAAATGGTAGGTAAAATAATCCCAGAAACCCAGCAAAATCACCAGGGAAATTTGGAGTTCTAAATCCTTTGGAGATCTCAAAATCTTCAAGAAAGGATATGTGAGCCCCCCCGCTGATGCTAAAGAGCAATCACTTGAATTGTTTATATGCCAATTTGACTTTTGGCCATATAATTTTCTAATGTATTGTGTATGTATTTATTTAGTGCCTGTCTTGGACCCTACACCATCACTACCCCCATCCCCCCAAAAAAGAATAGGAAAACGAAAAACAGAGAGAGAAACAAACCCCTTTTAGAAGCAATAGTAATAAATGGGCAAAGTCACAAAAACTTACTTGCCATTACTTCTTAAATGATTTATTTATGTTGGTTTATTTATTCCACTTACTAGTGTGGACACGCAAGTTTCTTCTGTAATAAATTAAGACAACCTGCTAAAACTTAGGGGACCTTGAGCAAAAAATGTGAATCCTTGCCATGGAATTAAATGAAAGTTTAGCAGAAGTTGAGCTAACCAGCTGGTGATGGTATGGCATAATAATAGATGGTTATAATTCAATATGAGCTGGCTTTTCAACACCAAATGGAAACTTTAGGGGTAGTTGCCTTTATTTCGAGTGAGAATAAATTGTCATCAACAAAGAATTAATGAGATGGGGACCCTTGTACTTCCTCCCAACACCGTCCAGACTGATATGGTCAACAAAGTAGAACTGAGCTAGTTTAAAGGCTGAATTTTTTTCTTTAGGAAATTGTAACTATAAAGATGACTTTAGAAATGAAAAAACATCCTAAAAATAACCCATCAAATAATTATTCTAAGAGTTAGGATAAATTAATTTTTAGAAAAATATCTTAGGTATAAGATAATAAAATCTCTCCACTCTTTCTTTTTGCATTTTCTTCTCTAATTTGTCAAAAATATAATAGAAGGGGAAATAACACCTTTAATTAGTTAATACATTTCTCATCTTTTCTATAACATGACAACATGAATTTAGTTTAGTGGTAATTGACATAAATATTGGACTATTTATGTATTAAATCTTCCGCATAATGAAAAGAAAACACAAATCAACATAATTGATTTTGCCGATGGTTTGTTCCAAAAGAGTATATACAACCGTTTTTAATAACAACCCATAAACTGATCCTATTCCTAAGAGGGCATTTCTAATCATCGCAGAGATTCGAACCCATGGTCGCTCCACTGGGAACGAATTTCTCAAAACACCGTTGGCAGTAAAATTATTTATTAGAAAAAAAGTCAACAAGGGTGATGAAGTTTGACCTTCTAATTTGGATCCTATTGGAGAGGTCACGACATCGACTCTCGAGCTCACGTGGGCTTTGCCGCAGCTGACCACAGAGCCCGAGACACTCAGTCCCAGTTTCTCTCAAAATTAACCACCCTATCTACCTGTAGTAACGAGCTCAGGTGATCCAGTGCGAACAGCTCCACAGTAATATCCTATTCCCCTCAACTCCTTCAAGCGACAG